TCTAGAATATTTGCTGTCAAGCATGAGCTATGAAAACCTTGGAAGGATAGAAACAAAAGTCAAGAAAAAAAATTGGCATATTATTACTTTCTTGAATTTACTCTCATTTCGCCTTCATTTTTTTCTTTATTTATAATGCTAATCCAAGGCAACAGATAGTATAAAAATAACTTGTGAATACTTGTGCACAAGGTCCCTAGAAAATGGAATTACGCTTCTGCAAGTTCAAACCCCATAGCGCTTTTCTCCATGAGTGCGTTTGGGAGGAAGATGTCTGCCATGAAAGCAAGTCACCCACACTCAGCCAGGGACCTTCCCAGAAGCAGGCAGAGATTTTAAAGAAAATTTTTGGGGGAAAATGTACTGAGTCTTCTCTCTGAATGTAAAATGGCATTTCATCAGTCTCCGTTACTTTTTAGCCACATATGACAAATGATCACAGATGCTCACAATAATCTGAAAGCTTCTGAATTTTATTCTCTTCTAAGATGGCTAAGTGTGTTTCCTTAAAGCTGCATTCTAAAACAAAAACAAACTTTAACACTTTGAAGAAACCACAGGAAGCCATATGGTCCCACCCAAAGTTCCTGCATGCAAAATGTCCTCCTGGAAAAGAAGGTTCAAGGTGTTTTTAAAAATGGAGCTTTCATGTTCCTGCGCATTAACAATGGCACTTCCTGTTTTGACCTCCCACTATACCAAGGCTCTCAAGAAAGCAGATCATGGCCTTGTCCTTTTTGCACAGTAAACGGGTTATAGCCTCCCTCACGGTGTGTACAGAGGTCAAATGGAGATCGCCATTGCATGGTTCTCCCAAGGCCTTGTAAATTGACCTATAGCAACCTCACTAAGGATTCAATAATTTATAGTAGCCTAAGCCGTGAGCTGGGCATTGATGCCAACAGTATTCCTTATCCAAAGGGGATTGAGGCTGCTTACTGCCCTCTATGGCCTATGATTTATAAAGCTTTAGCAAACTTGCTGGGTTAAGAGGTTCCTCCCTTCTGTGTTAAGTCTTCGTTGTTTGTTCTATTACTTTATGTATGTTTTTAGACAAGTTTTCCTTAGCTACTGTTGGCCTTGAATTCTGCCTCAGCATCCCTAGTCTCTATATGTAGATATGCCCTGTTAAACTACCTCCTGTGGGAAAAGAAAAAAAGATACAGACATAAAGTCCAAAGGTAGCCTAGAGGAAAGGGAAGAAAGAAGGAAAAAAAACATTAAAAAATCCAACCAAATAAAAAGAAACTAGTTATTAGAGTCAATAGAAAGAAATTAACTTTCTTGTCAAATGCTATAAACTTTTCTTCTTAAATATAATGTATATATTATTGGAAATGTATTTAACTTGAATTACATCTGCACAGATATATAAATGTTGTATATGGCTGCTTCCTTTAAACTACTTCAGTAATTGGGATAAACACAATAAAAGCAAACTCCTTCAGGTGTTGAGTATAGTATTGTCACTAATGGCTTACATGTGATTTACTTTAAAAATTTAAAGACCATCTGCTTTAGACAGATTCCAAATTGTTACCGAGACCAAATGATACTGAACAGTGAAACATCACTACAGCGTAAAATAAGCCAAACATCTCCAAGTGCAGGATCTGTGAAGCCATGCAGCAACAGCAACTTGTAAAGACTGGAATCGGTGCAACTGCTTGAGCAGATGTTCAGAGATATCCATGGGAGATCTGAGACAACCAAAGATAATTAGGAAAGAGAGTTTTTAGCAGATTGCATTCTGAGATAGAAATAAGCTTTCGATGCCCAAGGCTTCCTGACACAATGCTTAAGATTTTTAATCCTAAAACATGTGGATCGAAAAGAACTAGTAACTGTCTGAACCAATGTTTGTCTTTCTTCCACGGCAGTAAGCAACCCACTTGATCAAATTATTTTATTGAGAAAATTATCATTGATGTGTGATTGTTTTGTTTTGTTGGGAAAAAGAGAGCCTTCTATAGCCTAAGCCATCCTCACGCTCTCTACATAGCGAAGGGTTTAAGGACGACCTTAAACATCTGATCTCCCTGCTTCCACCTTCTAGGTGCTGGAGTCTCAGACCTCTACACCCTAGACATCTCAAAATGGAGAAACAAGCTGCAGATTAAGACTTATATGGTGCCCAGAATTTCCCCAGGACTTTATACACGCTAGGCAAACATTCTACCAACTCAGCTACATCCCTAACCCTGAGGTATAAATTTGAAGTTCCCCTTTTAACCCAAGGATAATCTCCTGTCCTGTGAAATTTGGTGATATTATAAGGTAAGGTTTGGAAGTTCAAGAATAAGTGATCTTTGCCATCAAAAAGCAAACACAAGCAAACAAACAAACAAAATACTAGGAGAAAGAATAGGCCCTAGACATCTCACAATGGAGAAATAAGCTGTAGATTAAGATTTGCTGGGAAGGAATGTTAAGATGCTAATTAAGATCACAAAGTCTTCCCCAAAATATCACGATTGTAGTACTTCAGTCTAACATTGTTTCTACCTCTCACCTACCTAGATGGAGAGGTAAAGCAGGTTTTCTTCCTTTTCTCTTTAGACTTGACAACTTGACCAGCTCTTGCCAGGTTAAATAAATTTTCTTCTATCTAATCCACCCTAGTTAGGATATTGCTACCAAGGCCATGCCAATGATTTTTAATGTCGCTATGGCACTGGTTTGTGTTTCCCCACTTAAAAATACTTGAAGTTGATATTATTCATGTCTTCATTAAGTAATGTTCAGTGGGTGAAAGCTTCTAGGGTACCTACGCACTGTTTTGTTCAAGACACAACTTAAATTACTACAGAGTGAAAAATTGATTCCTGAGGCAGAGACAAGCAGAACTCTGTGTGTTTGAGGCCAGCCTGGTCTATATAGGAAGTTCCAGGAGAAAGAGAAAGGAAAGGGAAAGGAAAAAACTGATTACCCCAGGAAATATTTTGTTGACCTTGAACATGAGATCCTTTCTCTTTTGACTCCCTTTCTGAGTTCTTGGCTGAGAAATGTAAGAACTGCTAAGTCCAGTAAAGAAGATGAAGTATGTGTCACATAAACATGCTTGTTGTGTGCAAAAGGAATCCCTCATCTGCAACCTTAATTGTTAGGTAGGTCTAGGGTACTTCCAGCGTGATTTAATTTGTTCTTTCTGTGTATGTGTATGATGTGGAGGTAAGGGCACACCAGGAAAGGTAGGAAGAGAACTTGTTGAGTTGGTTCTTTGCTTGCATCATGGGGACTCCAGGGATCATATTCAGTTGTCTGCCATGGTGTCAAGTGTTACTCTCCGAACCATCTCACCTATCCAAGTCTGGGTTTTAAGAAACAGTTTCACACAGGAAGAAACCAAACAGAGGTGACTGATTCTTTGCCATCTCTCTAATAGATGTTGAGTGTTGGCCCACGATTTTCTTAGTCCATACAGTCATAACTGTAAGGAATGAAATAAGGCGGGAGCTGCCAATTTGACTTTCCTTCACACTTTCTATCAGTTACAAGATTCTAGGATGATGCAGAATGTTGAGTAGATGACACAGTTGTCAGGCAATCAGTACCTAAAGCAGTGCACAAAAGAATTACTTGAGTGGTCTAACTTCCTTTGTACAGGAGAGTAAGGGTCGCCAGGGACCAAACCCAGAGCCCCCTGTATATCAAGCTAGTGTTCTACCACAATCTTCCCTAATAACTCCCTGGAAAAACTTTTCAAATAAGATCAGAAGGAAACAGCAACCAAATATTTTCATTCCAACTGTGACTTATAATTTTCTATCCAAGACAGTGGTCCGCACACATGCTGGTTTCCCCACATCACAGTAATTTGTACAGTAAATATTCTGAAAGTAGTTAGCAACTTAGAAAAATATTAATACTATCAGAAAGAAACTAGAAAATTATTAGATGAACAATGTATGCAAAATAGTGATGAAAAGGATATGTTACTGTTATGACCTTATCTCTTGCAATTGATCATTAATCCCCAAATGGTTGGTTTCCACTATATGCTATACTCAAAGACAAACTGACCATTAAAAAATATCCTCAGTTAGCTGGGCAGTGGTGGCACACACCTTTAATTCCAGCAGAGTCAGGTCAGTCTCTGAGTTTTAGGCAGTCTGATCTACAGAGTGTATTTCAGGACAGCCAGTGCCACACAGAGAAACCCTGTCTCAAAAAAAACAAAAGCAATGCCTGAGTTCAGTCCCTAGGACCTACATAGTAGAAGCAGAGAAACAAGTCTTACAAGTTGCTATCTCCAGGAGGAGGAAGAAGAGGAAAAGGAGGAGGAGGAGGAGGAGGAGGAGGAGGAGGAGGAGGAGGAGGAGGAGGAGGAGGAGGAGGAGGAAAACACAGCCAAGCATTGTGGCAGCACTTGTAATTCCAATGCTGGGGAGGCAGAGACAGGAGGATCCCTGGGGTCTTCCTGTCTGTCCAACCTAATTGGACCTGTCTGAAGGAAAAATTTCAAAAGATACCAAGATGGATAGCTCCCGAGGAAAGACAGCAGAGGCTGACCCTGCCTGGTCTTCACACACACAGGCAAGAAAGATTTGCATCTGTGCACGCAACACACACACACACACACACACACAGAGAGAGAGAGAGAGAGAGAGAGAGAGAGAGAGAGAGAGAGAGAGAGAGAGAGAGAGGTACACTCATTAAGATATGTTAAAAGCATGTGTAGTGTTCGTGATACTGGCATTACTAGAAGAGTCCAAGATGCAAAAACATTAGTATTTCACATTTCCTGAGGACTTACTATTGAACAAACGAAATATGTGAAAAGTTTAAACCCTGCTTTCTACATCCCTCTTGGCATTGCTTAGTGCTGTGTGTGTGTTCTGTGTGCTCTGTGCTGTGTGTTGTGTACTGTGTGTGGTCTGTGTTGTGTGCTGTGTGCTCTGTGCTGTGTTCTGTGTGCTCTTTATTATTTTTTTTAATATTGCACCTTGAGATTAGCTGTAACAAAGATCCAATTTTAGAGATAAAAGAAAATTACTTACAGGCCCAGGCAGATAGGTAGGCATTTCAGGTCACTGACAACTCTGAAGCACACAGAGGGGTCCACTTCCTGGGTGGAAACTCCAACTCCAGCTATTGGAAAGCTGAAGTGTGAATTAATTGTTGATTACAGCCTTCTTCCAAGTTCACACACTCCTGGCTGCCCATAGGAGGTGCAAGTCAAGATCACATTTCCAAGGTCTTCACTCAGAAAGTATGTGATTGAAAAGAAACTTCAGGAGAAAAATCCAGGAAAGGAGGGCAGGAGTATCCATATGGAATCCTCATGAATGTTTGTCAGCACAGGCCTGTGAACCTGGTAAAAATAGTACAAGGGCCTCATCAGGACTCGTAGGTGTTATTCAGGCTACTTTTCCTCTCTATGTTTTATGTGCTGTGCTAGACGGGGTCTCGTTTCTACAGACATAACAAGATTTTTTTATTATAGTTATGGTAACCCATCTCCCAGAGTGTGTGTGTGTGGGATGGGGGTGGGGGTGTCATAAGGATCATACCCAGGGCCTTGAACATGTTAGGCAAACACTAACCTGAGCTACATCTCTAGCCCCAGTAATGTGAGTCTCAGAGTTTTGTTTCACATCTGTTGAAATTGGTATAGTGGTATCTTCATCTACTAGTTATTTTACCATTTTTTAAATTATGTGTATGTGTGTTTAAGGATATTGTGAGCTATTGGAAGGCCTTGCCTTATAAAAGGAGGGATGTTGTTGGGTGGTGGCGGTGGCAGTGACTCATACCTTCAATTTCAGCACTTGGGAGGCCAAGGCAGGCAGATCTCTGTGAGTTTAAGGCTATCCACTGAGTTACACAGTAAGACCCTGTAAGGTTGTCTGACTAGGGAGATAGCTCTGCCAGCAAAGACTTGCTTTGCACGCATGAGGAACTGAGTTTGATTTCCAACAAATCACATGCAAAATCATGCTGGGAAGCAGAGACAGATGGAGCCCTGGCATGGTGGCCAGCCAGCCCAGCCTACTTGGCAAACTGTAGGCCACTGAAAGACCCTGTCTATACAAAAGAGGCCAGTGAAAGACCCAGTCTGTACAAAAGAAGGCTGATAGCACAGGTAGCAGAGTGAATGAAAAGTGTCCCCCACAGGCTGGTGGGCACTGTTTCTGCAGGCTGTGGAACCCTTAGGAAGTAAAGCCTGGTTGCAGAAAGCTTGTCACTGGGTGTGGGCTTTGAGAGTTTGCAGCCTCCCCCATTTCCAGTTCCCCCTCTGTGCTTTCAGTTTGTGGTTGAGGACATGACCTCTCAGCTTCTTAACCTGTAGACTGCTTCCATGCTCTCCTCATCACAGATTCCCCTTTTGGAACCATGAGCCAAAGCAAACTCTTTCTTCCACAAATTGCTTTCAGTCATGGTGTTATCACAGCAACAGAAAGTACCTAATACAGAAGTCAGTGCTGGAAAGTGGACTGCTGCAATGAAGAGGTTGACTGTGCTTTTGGGTTGTTGTTTGGTTTATTTCCTTGTGCTTCTTGTTGTTGTTGTTTACTTGGTTTTTGTTTTGTTTTGTTGTAGTTTTAACTTGGAAGACTTGAGGATTTAGGCTAGAAACAAAAACAGTTGAATACTAATAACAGAGCTTAACAAGACACTCTAGGAGGAGCTTGGAAACACTACTGCTAAGAGTAATGCAGGAAGTAGAGGCCTAGCTTAAGTGCTTTCAGAGGGAATAGGTCTCTATTACCAACAGGATGGAGGCCATTTGTGTGACTCTTTGGCAAGGCATCTGGCTGCCTGCAGCCTGTGCCTTGAGAACTTTCCTGAGGCAAAGCTAAAATTACTGAACCAACTTCTTTCTCAAAGGAAGTTTCAAGACAGTATAACATTGAGTCTGTGGCATTGTTATTACTGCTTATTCTTATACAAATCCACAAAGAAAAGAGCAAGTGGGGCAGAGAGGAAAAGAACACTAGAGAAATAGCCGCAGCCTGGGGGCTGTGTGGGCATGGGTGGGGTGGGGGAGGGGAGGGGAGAGGAGGAATGGTGCTGTTAATTGTTAAGGAGATACTTCCTACTCACATTGGGGCAATTGGAAAGGTGCTCCCAGGATGTGATGCAGCCCAGGTTGTGAAAAGAGAAAGCCTAAGAGGTTGCTTTCTCCTAGAAAACAATTATTTCAATAAACAAAAGCTGCTGCCATTGTGGTCAAAGGGACCAGAGTCCATCTTGAGCTGGCTGCTAAACTTGGCAGTGTCATCTACCTGGCACCAGCTTTGGAGACATGGAAAATGTAGGACTAAAGGGGTCAAGGATTCTTTCTCCCTCGTTTCAGACAGCCACTGAGACCACAGTGGCCATTGTGTGAAACTGTATTGTGATGGAGATCCCAGGATCTGACATTTCTTGGTGTGTTAACAAAAATTTTGTGATATAGGAAGAAGGTGAATAATACTGTTTGATTTTTGTCTAGAAACCTGGCTTATGTACAAACAAAAACCAAAGGGAACCAGTAATGTTCATAGATAAGACACATTTGCCCTAATTTTAGTCCTGTTGCTGTGATAAAAATATCTCCACAAAAGTAACTTCAAGCCAAGAATTGCTGGTGCACGCCTTTAATCCCAGCACTCAGGAGGCAGAGGAAGGTGGATCTCTGTGAGTTCAAGGCCATCTTGATCTACAAATTGAGTTCCAGGATAGCCTTCAAAGCAATACAGAGAAATCCTGTTTTGGAAAAAAAAAAAAAAGTAACTTCAAGGGAGAAGACTTATTTATTTTAAAAGTCTAGATTTGATCCATTATAGCAAAAATCAAGGAAATTGAAATGTGTCCCAAATAGTCACACCATATCTCCAGTTAAGGGTACAGAAAAATGAGTGCAGACATACATACTACTCAGGTCATTTTCTTCACTCTTATACAGTCCATAACCCAAACTCAGGGAATGGTGCCACCTATAGCGGGATGAGTCTTCCCACATAAACCAGTGCAATCAAGACAATGCCCCACAGACACATCTATAGGCCAACCTGAGTTAAACATTCCTTCACCGAGACTCCCATCACCGGTGATTTTAGCTTGCATCAAGTTGAGAATTAAAAGTAACTATCAAAACATTCTAGAATATTACAAGAGAAAACTAAAGGCTATGACTATGTCAAAGGATGCTCTATATTAGAAACCCTGGTATAAAAAGTTGTGTCCCCAAAGCAGGTCAGAGTAAAACAGGGCTTGGAGACCTTCTAATACAGAGCTATTTCTCCGTGTTCTTCTCAGACTTCAGGTACTGAATGGGTTGTCACAAGAAGGGATCTTTTGATTTAAGGGAATGAAAAGAGTAAGCCAGAAGAATGCATCTTCCCTGATCTGCAATGTTGCAACTCTCTGGTGGAGCCTCACAGATAGACTTTGTCTTTGCTGTCTCTGACCTCACTTGCCTAATGTACCAAAGGCAGTGGGAAAGCATTGCACGTAGCTGGATCCTAGATTCTTCCCTGGGCACAACAGCATCCTTTCTAAATGAGTCACTGTTCTTTATAAAGTCATGATGGTTCATCCGATGTTATGAAACTCAGTTTTAAATTTAGCATAGTTATCTTCCAGGTTGAAAAAAAATGGGGGAGCATAAAAAATTCAAAGCCAAAGCAAAACTGCATTCTACATTAAAATGTCCTTTAATTGTAATCATTTCCATTTCAAAAAGGAAGTTAGGAACAGAGGGAGAAATGGAGGGAGAGAAGTAAAGAGAGGGAGAGAGAGAGAAACAGAGAGAGAGAGAGAGAGAGAGAGAGAGAGAGAGAGAGAGCTTTCTCCAATTTCACCTCTTGAAATAAAAGAAGCAATCTGAAGGAGCAGGATTAGCACAGATTTTAGGATCCAAAGAACAGGGTGGGACTGTGTAGCACTGTGATGGAAACAGGATAGAAGCTCTTGCTACGTTTCTCCAGTAAGCTAAAGGTTGCCATGGTAACCTACTAGGCTATGAAACTATTGTGAGTCTTAGGACACAAGTTTTGATTACATTCTTAAAAGAGGATATCAAGTGCTTGCATCGAAGGAGTGTGAAAAGAATCTTTGCAAAGTAGATCAAAGCTGGTTGAAGATATTGATTTGAACTTTTGAAACAGTGCCTTGGGAGGAAAACAAAAGACCTATATCAACTAGTGACTCTTACTAAGCCTGAAAGAAAGGACTCAAATTAGTTAGCAAGGTTAACAAATCAGAATTCTGAAGTAATTTACATTCACACATTTCTGTAGGAATTTGAGGTACGAAATAAACTGCTTGCTGCTTGTTCTCCTTGTCTCTAAAAGACTCCATTTCAGTGGGATAAAGCCGTCTTCATTTTCTTTAGGGAAAAGCAGAAATGAAAAGGTTCTTATGGCAGAAAATTTCAATTAGAACAAATATTCCTAGTAAAAGCTTAATACCCATAATGTGATCATCTTTCATTTTTGTTTGTTTGCTTTGTGAAGTCCCGGAGTTAAACCTGGCCCTTGGGCATGTGAGGCATGTGCTATACCACTGAACCACATTGACAACCCAGTTTTTATATATTTTTTATTTTTCATTTTCATTTTTAATAATGTGTCTGTATGTGGGTGGGTGGGTTTGGGTTTGTGAATGTACAATTAGTTCTCTTGGGGGACAGAAAAAGATATCAGATCCCCTGAAACTTGAGTCACAGGCAGTTGTAGGTGCTGGAATGGAACTTGGGTCCTCTGGACGATCACCAAGCACTTCTGACTGCTGAGTCATTTCTCCATCCCTTGCTTTTATTGTGAGATATGGTCTCACTAAATGACTCAGGTTGGCTGACATTCACTATGCTGTACCACTAGACCACGCTTATCTAATTGGTTTTGTGTGACAGTGGCTGACTTTGCCACTTGGGCTTTTCAGAGCTGCAGGCCACGCTTTCAGAGAAGTAGATCTGAATAAGCAAATGAGCCATCTTCTTAGAAGTTTGTCTTTACCAGGAACTTTTCAGACTAATTTGAACTAGAAGCCAAATTCAAAGCAACATTAAGACAAAACAGCTTCTTACCAGTCATGATCATCAAGATTCCCCAAAGAGTCTCCCTATTTAGTACCTTACATACAACTTTGGAAAGCCAAGACCAAAATACCTTTGACCAAGTTCAGACTGACCCATGATAAAATCTCTGCTGAAAATAGAATTAGCAAAAAATGTTCCCCAACATAATCAAGCACTGTAGACACTATTATTATAATTCTGGAACAAGACAAGGGTGACCACTCTATCTACTCTTATTTAATATAGTGCTAGAAATCATATCTAGAGCAATAAGACAAGAAAAAGAAATGAAAGAGATACGAAAAAGG